AATCAAATAAACCAATATGATGCACCTTTCGCCTTTCAACATGGCCCTGCCCAGTGGCGTTTCTTGGCCACGGGTGATGGCTGCGCTGCTCCGTGACGCTTCCTCTCCTTGGTGGCTGCTGCAGTCAGCACCGAGGACAGGGGCCGGCGAGGTTCCGGAGCGCTGGCAGGGACTGCGGAGGCAGCGCTCTGGTCCTTCCATGGTGGACAGGTGAAATACCCTCTGGTAATTTAACATAGCTATTGAAAATGGCCATTTATAGTGGATTTTCCCATTAAAATAGTGATTTTCCATAGCTATGTTAGTTTACCAGATGGTATCTGGAAACCCCGGATTCATAGACGCAGTGTGGATGTTTAGTCATGGGGGTACCAATGGCCAAAGTACAAAATGGTGATATTCTGATACTCAAATACACCCCAAAATTAAACAGCATAGGGGTTTATTGATCCAGGGTTGATATTACTGGAAACACCATGAAACACCTGCTTTGTTTCGATCGTTTTGTCATGGCTTAACCCTCGGGCTTCGCTGATTTGAGAACATATTCAGCATCCAAGCCTTTTATTGCTCAAAAATTGCACAATGTTTGAGGCGACATGAGGCGGCGACACAAACTGCCGCTTTAGTCCTCTGTGACATCTGCTAGGTCTGGTTGGGATGCCAAATCTGTAGCTTGCAGCAGCTCGCACATCGATGACTGACTATTCTGACTATTCATCGTCTGCGACTGCGAGTCCTCCAAGGGAATCAACGATGGTTCCGGCTGGGCGTTTGGAAAATCACCCAACTACTGTATTTCTAGGGATTTTTCCAGCACGCCTTGGAACCTATTATCAGATATTATCAGAGGCTACCTGCAATAGACTGCAATGATTATTTGAGCATCAAGGTCCAATTCTTTCTGTTTTTTTCCCTAAGTCCCAGAACTTTTCTCATCATTTCCCCATGATCCCCCCGGGGCGGAATCATAGTCCCGTCCCAGCGAAACACTCCTTCTTCGTGGCTATTCAGGGTGTATCGTTGTGTATACCCCTACTTGGGGTAAGTCTCTTCAATAACAGCCCCAAACGCTGTTAGGCTCCCACATCATCTGGCAAAAAAGATGTGCTTTTGTGACACCCCAAAATGATTCTTTCATAATTCCTCATGTCACATATTTAAAAAAAAATGCAAAAATTACCTCACTTCTCTTCACCACTTGGCTATGCTTCGGGGGTCCCCAAAAAAGATCAGACAATCCAAGTCGATTCCCCACACAACTGGTGGACAAGGCCAATTTGATCCAATTTGTGACAAATGGATTCGCAAAATCTCAAAAAAAAAATCAAACATCACATATTATCACCTCAGAAATCATCCAGAAATCCCATCCCAAAATCATCACCAAATCCATCCGAAATCCCAAATCTCCCCAACTTCTCCTGCCATGAATCCCTTCGCAGCAACCCCGGAAGTGGTCCCACGACATCTGCGTCTTCCTGCGAGGAGTCGACCAAATCGGCCCAGCGCGGCCGCGCAGCGGCGGCGGCCATGGGCTCGTTACGGCGGAGCCGTTTTTTTCGTCTGAGGCTGCTGCAGCATGGAGAAATCTTTGTTTTGGAACAACGGAAATCAAATATGAATATATGATATAGATAAATGTATCCACATTGTTTTTTAAATATATGATTTATCTATATCCACATTGTTTTTATATACAATCAGAGAAAAAATCCCGGGATATAGATACCCTCTGGTAATTTAACGTAGCGAACTGGAAAAACACCATGCTATTAATGGGAAAATCCACTATAAATAGCCATGTTCAATAGCTATGTAACAAATTACCAGAGGGTAAATCAAATATGATGGTGAAAACAATGTGGACATATGTAAAAAAAACTCAAGTTCACAGTGGACCAATAATTGAATCATGTTCGGTGTGTTCGCAAAATTGCTTGAAAGTACAGTACAATGTTGGAGGAAAACGAAGCATTATCATAAATACAAACAAAAATAACATGGGTTTCACAGGAAAAAACACGAAAAAACATCCCATATACATCCCACAGCGCCAATAAATCATGCCGTCTTCATCCCGGAGCCTCAAATGAGCAGTTCACCTTCAGCCCCTGTGGCATCCAGGCTGGTTTGTGTGGCTTACTTCTCCAGGAGTTAGCCAGCAAGTGGGGAAAGCCGTCCTTCAACGTCATTCCACTCGAAATAACATGCTGATCGGTTTTAAGCGAACTAATTGTCACTAGATATCACTACATGCAATCGTTCATTTCAAGTGAGACATTTATATACAAACATTTACATAGATCATGGATCAGTTTTAAGCTAATTATCAAGTATCATCGGTTGCCCTCTGGTCAACTAACATAGCTGTTATGGAAAATAATCATGTTCATAGCAAAATCAACGAACTATTCATGGGCCATTGTTAGTACCCTCTGGTAAACTAACATAGCTATGGAAAATGGACCTTAAAATTAGAGATGATTTAGCTATTGTATGCTATTGTGATTTTCCAGTTCGCGATGTGAGTTTACCAGAGTTTACCAAATGGGCCATGTTTATCCATGTTTAGTATGTTCAATTCCCAGAGGGTATCACATGCGCGCGGCAGGGCATGGCCGGGCCTCCGAAAGACGTTCCTTGCGATGTTTTACAAGCCTCGGGCGATGCACTCGCTTCCGCCTGGCAGGATGTAACTTTTTCCCCAAAGAAATAGCCTTTGATAATGACAAACATAGCTATGGAAAATGGATGAAAATGGCCCATTTATAGTTGATTTACCTATTGAAGATTGTGATTTTCCATAGCTATATTAGTTTACCAGAGGGTATTGTATTTCATAGGTTTTGAATGATGTTGATTTATCCCCAAATATATATATCAAATGTCAATGTTTGAAGTGTCATACTCAAACAAAATCAAAGAAATGGATGTTCATCATATACCCTAATATGTATATATATATTTATGTATGTATGTATGTATGTATGCATGGATGTATGTATGTATGTATGTATGCATGTATGTCTGTGTTACTGTCTGTCTGTCTGTCTGTCTGTATGGATGTATGGATGTATGGATGCATGCATGCATGCATGCATGTATATATATATATATGTATCGAAACATGGTGTGTACTGTATATGGATGCTATGGTACAAAGAAATTGGCTGCAGGTTCTTCAACGCATCGCCATCTCCCAGAGTTCAGCTCCTTAGGGAAGCCCCATTTTTTGGGGGCAAAATCAGGCCCATGTCCCCAGAAGGTCACTAGCAATTTCAATGTCTATTCAAGAATGGGATGGCAATGAGCTTGAGCTCGTCCAAACATGGTAGATACCCGAACATCGCATAAAATCTTGATGGAGAAAATGGTTAATTATACGCCATTGGATTTCACTCATTCTCCCCATATCAAGGGGGCCCCACAAAGGCAATATCAAAAAAAACTAGGCTCACACAAGGGCACAAGCCCCTAATATGGGTTGATGGGGTACGAATGTAGTACACCTATTGGCGTGCCGTGAGCCAAGGAATTGTTGGGATATTGCTGACTTGATGTTTGTTTCTCAGAGCTGATCTTGTTAGGGTAAAAAAAAAACTAGCTCTGGACCCCTTCCTATCCCTCCAACCCTGAAAAAACATCTTATTCAATATTCACTGAATTCACTGCGTACTCTTGTTGAGCAGGCTTTCAGCAAAAGGTTTCCAAAAGGATCTGCACTCTTCCTTTCCTACACTCTGTACAAAAAACTAACATCTACACACACAGTTCTTGCAGAGGGTAACCCATCAACCACCCAAGTACTGAAAAAGTCAAAGCCTTTTTGTTTGGCAAAATCCCAATAAGCACAACTCCTTTACCCAAGTCTTACATCTCATCTAGCCCCACTTCAAACGAAATAGGAAAATCCCGCCCAACTCCCCCATCCTGACAATATCCCATGATGGTTTCTCATAGGAAAAAGAATTAGAGGATTAGATGAATCGATAAACAATGATAAACATGAACGTGATAAAAACAACCCTTGCTTAGACTCCTGACATGTTACATGTCCTGGCAGTTCTTCTTTTTTGAGATTCTTGGAGTGTTGGCTACTTGGCAATTGTTTGAGGAGGTTGATGGGGTATCCACGAATCCGTGTACAACATTGATGGGGCCACGATACGAGCCAAATACGGAGGTTTGTATGAGCTGCTGGATATGATCGGCCCCTACTGCAAAGTAGTCACTAATGTCCCATGGAAACCAAAAGATCCTCTCACTATCTCTCACTCCAACTTTCATCACTTAACTGCTTCGGAACTTCGAAAAAACATGAAAAAACCATCGCCACAGCCCCTGCAGGCCCTGCCTGAAATGCGCTAAAGGGATTGCATCGACCTGCAGGATCACAGCAGGTCGAATGCATCTCAGCTGTCCACGATTGGACTCGCACTCGACTCGAGTCAGGGGGCCTCCGTGCCAAGACTGATCCATCTTGGGCATGTCCAAATGCCTAGCCACAATGACGTGGCTAAGGGCCATCAATTGATGGCGTAAAAAAAAGATGGGATTTATGGAAACACCTTCCATTTTTAGCAATTTTTCGATAGTTGACTTATGTTGACTTTGAAGGTTGTTGGCCCACTTTGAGGTTTGATTTGAAAACCAAGTGTTGGAAACTCAGCTGACCACTGCTTTCAGAAGTTATTCAAAGACGCGAGTTGTCGTATGAGAAAATATGGCCGCTGTAATTTACCCAGATGGTATCGTCCACGATGTCGGAGATTTTTACATAGGCAGGTTTGACGTGTCAATTTGCATTGGACATTCTGGTTGGTGGTTTCAAGCATCTTGAAAAATATTAGTCAATGGGAAGGATTATTCCATATATTATGGAAAATAAAAAATGGTTGAAACCACCAACCAGCATTGGTTCTTCAACTGGGCTACCATGGGCTACGCCAATTCTCGGCATCTCCTGTGACCCTCTCTCCCTATTGCGTCCCAGCAACTCACGTGAGCGCGGCTCCGATTCTGGTGAGCCGGCAGGCCTGCAGTTTCACCCTGAAAATGGAGCACAGCCAAGATCAGTCAAGTAGCTAATCAAAGATACCCAAAAAAAAATGTGTCTGAGTCTGAGAATTTACAACCAAAGATGATATCTGATATATATATATATATAATTGCCTACACAACCACTGATGTTTCCCCCAGAATGGACCACCCACTCACGGGTTCTGAGGATTCACTGAGGATTCACTGACCCTCAGAATGAGATCAGTGGGCGCTCATTTTTTACGAAGGAAGTTAAACGTGTTAAACAACCAACCAGTGATGATATCACACAATCATCTATAATTGTTATATTCTGGTAGTGTAGTATAGAAAATGATGTTGTCACTGGTAGTGTGGTATCATGGGATAAATAATGGTAATTAAATATCATGACATGGGACATCATCTATTTTCCCCCCCAAAAAAAACATATCCAGGATAGTTTTTTTTTTTATAATATCAAATATATATATATAAAATATGACTATGCATAGATGATAGGGAAAACAAAAAAATATTATGACTATCCCATGTAGTAAGCCCAACAAGATGCCGAAAAGCATGTCCAGGATGGGATTGTTCGATGATGCTTTCAATGCAATTTCCGATGATCCAACGTTTAGGCATCGGTTTCGTCAATGGATTGGTTTAGTTGGGAAAATCTTAACTGGAAACCGCGGAGCTTACCATCAAATATAGGGCTTTCCTGTAAATTGTCCTTTAAACCATGAATCTTTTGACAAGAAAAGACGGCGAAAGATTGGAACATTTGAAATTCAATAGGGGAGAGCAACATTGAACTACCATCCTGGAAATACTTTTCGGATCTTTTCGGCATCCCTACCGTTTTAGGGGGGACTTCCCCAAATGCAACTTACATTCTGGGTACTTCGAAAATGTAACTTACATGTTCCCAAAAACCCATAAAATCAGCACCTAAAATGTATCTTACATTTAGGGAGGTCCCTCCGAAATTTGGAGAGACCAAAAAAATGTAATATTACAGTACATTTGGAAGGTAACACCTCTAGTTACATTTTTCCCAGATCCCCCCCAAAAAAACCCTCGGCTAAGGGTGTGAGGATTTCTCATGATTTTTTGGCATCTTTTTGGGAGCCCCTGACGCTCCGCTGGCTGCTGGACCCCTCCTCAAGATGGGCAGTGGATCAAAAGCCGTGGAATCCACATGGGTTTTCAGCTGCAAATGGCTGGGATTTATGCGATTCATGGATGTGGAGTAGCCCTAAAGATAGTATAGTAAGGAAATTTGGAGCCATCATCGTATTTGGACCACATGACTCGTATGACCAAAATGTGAACAATCTGGAGCGGGAAGAAATGCCTTTGTTTGGTATTAGCAAGTTGATGTGCTCATCCAATGTTCTATCTCTCATTCTTGTGAAGGACCGAAATCAGCAGTGGGCCTATGCTTAATTCTGTGTGCATAGAATTAGAATAAGCAAACCTCCATATGACTTAGCTCCAAATGTCATGTGCAGCCAAAAGCTACATCTTGGTACACCCAAACTTGAAGCAATGGCAACTTCCCAGTTCTCCCATGTCGCTTGATATTGGATCCGAAGTGTTTGTTGCCCATGGTGTATGCAAGTGAGTCACAACTAGACCCAAAAATGTCCAAAACCTGTCAATCAACACCAGAATCTTCAATCGCTATTCAATCGCTTCATCCAAAATAGCACTTGAACATTCTTCAAGGCTAATCTTTGTGTAGTCTGCCACCTCAGCTTCCCCGAAAAAGATGGTCTATGGAGAAACTACCATCCCACACTACCCCATGGAAAGCACCCAACAACGGTTCCCATACTCACATGTTAGTCATGTCCGAGTGTCGGAGGTTTCAGGCTGCCCTCCGGCAGACGTGGAGGATGCGCCGTGTCCCGCAGATCCTTGGGACTGACATCGCCACGGTTTCGACGGGAACACATGTCCTCCCGAGACTACAGTAGTGTCAATGGATTCGTTCAAGGAAACTGTAAAACTGTAGAACTATACCGAAAACATCAGAAAATCCACGCTTCTTATCACCAAATACAGGGGTTTGCTGCTGCATTTTTTCCCCTTCAAACAATTCTGCAAACTTCCGGGGGCAGCATGCCCTTAAGTGTAGCACAACTTTGGCCGCTGGACTGCCCTCTGGCAGTCGTGGAGGCACATCCTCAAGGGTTTGTCTGCTTCCGATCTATGGGCATGTTATTTTTGCGATAGCCCATTTTCAAACCATTTTCATCTTCATTGGTTATTCTGAATTGAATTTGCTTAAGCTTATTCTCAAATGAAATGACAATAATGAACCGCGTGGAATCAGCCAGGTCTAAGCCAGGTCGGCTGGCTGTGGTCAACCATTTCTAAACCCAAGCTGTTCAACAACTTGAAACCAAACCTGGTATGTAAACTCAACGGCTAGATTGGGATAAATCGGATAGATGATGATCAATAATTCGTTCTTAGAGTCTTACTATAAGTCTTACTACGTCTTACTATGTCTTACTACAGGATGGTGCCCCCCAGTGATGTTAGTTGGTTTATAAACCCCATTAACTAGTTAGTTATATCTGCCATAAACCATAGGTTTCATGGGAGTTATTTGCACCAACTTAGCTATCTATGGGGCACCCATTTACCAGACCCATCCCTGCACCCCCAGAGAGGCCGCGCGGATTTCGCTGCGGGGCTGGTTTCGGGAAGCCGAGGCGTTAAGGTCTTGTTGGGTGGGCTGCTTTCGGGCAGACGAGGAGGCACATGTGGTGCCTCTCGGGCCTCCTGGAAAGTGCTGGAAAGCTGGAGGTCAGCGGGTTTAGTTGGGAAAATCTACTGGAAACCATCGGTTTTAGTATGGAAACCATAGGTTTTAGTATGGTTTTAGTCCCAGATCAAAGGTTTTTACTGCAGAGTTTCCCTTGAAACCAACTGGAGGTGAACATAACGACCTCGGAAGAAATGGCAGGCCTTCGCTGGGCTGCAGGCTCGATAGCCTCCAGAATATCGAGAAATGAGGACGTTACCCGTTACCCCAAAGATGGGGAATTGGAATTCAACAACATCAGACTCATGGAGATGGGTTTTTCAAACCTTAGCAGCCTCTAGTTCTCAGCAAAAAAAACGCGCAAAATAGCACAAAATAGCTGGTGTATGCTTGTTCTTATCAGCGTTCATGCCCTCCCTACGATGTCACTTGCATTTGAAGCCTGAAAACCATCGCGGTATGTTGTTTCTGTTTGATGTCATAAAACTATAGGGTGAACCATTTCAAGTGAGACAAGACCTGAAGAAATAGGCGTTTCACATTGTGAAACCTGCAGACGAGCTGACCAATGTGAGGGCTACTGATCAGACAGGAGGAACCAATAATCTAAAGCTATATAACCAAAGTCAAGCAATGAAAACAGAACACTCCTGTACCGGAACTCATGTTAATTGTGGTCGTTATGAGTTTATCAGTTTCTTCCACGAATATTTTGGGAAGTGCATCTCCCACTCATTTAGCACGAGAAGGGCACAGACAACGATGACCCATAGGGACCTCCACCATGGGGCATTTGGAAAGGGTTCGGTCTCGACCTATGCGCCAGGGGTCCAAGATTGTTGAAGTTGATCTTGTGCCTTTGGATGTCTGTGGCTATGATGGTCTATGATGGTTCTCTGTACTAGTCCAGTAATACCTTTAAACATCTGAAAAGGCAAAGAAGGACCAGAGTCCATTGACCCAAACCCATCTCGAATCTTTTTGTTGGGGTGCTTTTATTTTGCACCGACAGTGGAAAATCCATGGGACCCATGGGAGTTGGATCATCAGGAGCCTCGGGACATGTCAGGAGGTAGCCAGCTATCCATGGGATCTTCAGAGGGTTTTCTGGGTCGAAATTGGGCAGCCGTGCCTCTGTTTGGGCGCCTGAAGGCTTTGATAGGTGGAAAGCAATGGCAAGGGATAGGAAGGGATGGGAAAATGTGGGAATGGCATGTCCAAGTTTGAAATGCATTACACCTCTGGGAATTTAACATAGCTATTGAAAAATTTGAAAATCACCCATCTTACAAACGGTAAATCAATGTAAATCATATATGAACGGCAATTGCCCATAGCTGTATAAAACTACCGGATGGCATAAAATAAATATCAATGTAGCTGCATGAAGGATTGGTTTGCGCTGCGCTCTCACCAGCTGCTTTTCTTGATCCATTCACCGTGACAAATGATGTGTTGTATTAACATATGACAAACTGATAAGATCTGAGCCATCTGATTCTGACCAGTAATAGTTGAGTCATAGTCAATACCTTTAAAATACCCTCTGGTAAACTAACATAACTATGGAAAATCACCATTTTTAATGGGAAAATCCACTATAAATAGCCATTTTCCATTGCTATGTTAGTTCACCAGAGGGTAAATAGCATCATTTCAGACCTATACCATACTACCCCTCAAAGATCTGCCCAACGACAGGCCAAACCTCCTCAGGCGGAGCAAAGTCCATGGGCGCGATCCACATGGCCAGCTCTAAGATCCGCAGGGGCGAAAAGCCTTCCAGCCATCCATGGGCCTAGCTGGTGCCGGGGCTTGGAAGCCAAATGTCATATTCAAAGGGTGAGTTTGGTTGATGTTGCTTGATGTTTGTTGATGAATTTCACAAAATGAACTTTAAGTACTTCGGTGCAGTTCGATGAAGTTCGATGTATCTACCATAGTTTCCGTAGTTTTTGGAGTTATAAACCAACTTAGCTCCTTATAGTTCAGACCCCACCTTTCAACTCCCAAAGAAGAATTTGAAGGCTCCAACTGGGGACTTTTGATTCTCAGATCATGAAAAATTGTTAAAATCATGGGATGGTGCCCAAACCAAACATGGGATTGTGAAGTGGTGCACCATGACAAACGGTGACAAAGATGCAGAGCGACTAAATCTTTCAGGTTGAAACACGAGATACCCGGAAAATTGCCCATGAACATATAATAGATAATTTACATTGATTGACATTGATGTTAAAACATCATGATATTCCAGTTCTCAAAGTGTTCATTCACCAGAGGGTATGTATCTATACTTAGCGGGTTGGATCCCAGAAAATGAATGTTGGTTGAATCCCAGAAACGACCACCAAGAAATTGTTTGGTATCAAACGTATCACCTCAAAAATGTGTTGCGCTTTCCTTTTTTTCATGGGGCTTCCCCATTTTTTTTTGTTGTGGATGGGTGGATGGTTAAGGGAAAATTCCATCTATCCCCATGGCCCTGACGCCTTCATGGTGGATGCACCGGGCCGAAGGGTGGGATCTTTTTGCAGGGCCTGGCGAAAAATCGCCAGCTCCAAAACAAGAGTAGATTTAATGCAAAAAAACAAGTTTGATGATAGATTTGAATTTATGATTCTATAAAAGTAGATGTTATATATATATATCATCTAGGATTTAGTTCAAACCCCAAAAAAAATAGATTTGAACTGATAACAAATTATATAAAATGATCTAGATCATACAAGTTTATAGTCCATACATATACTTGTAGTATCTTAAAAAGTGACATTATAGATACGAGTATAATAATGATCATAAAAGCGATCTTGGATATACTCGATGATATATATAAGTTCCTAAAATCCCACTCAAGTAAGTATAGTGAATCTACAGTAACTTATACAAGTTCCCTTAAAAATCACAAGTTCCCTTAAAAATCCAAAGTATCGTTCCTAAAAAAAACCTATAAAATGATATAATCCAACTAATATCTCAACTACAAAGATCTGGATAAATCAAAAAATATTTCACTAAGCCTAAAAAATTCTTGGGCCATGGCTTCGGGAGAACCTGCTGAAGGAAGTCCTGCAGCTGGCTGCCATGCTTCGGAGGAAGGCTCGGCGGCTCGTCCCTGGGCGTTTTAAACCATAGCTGGGTGGAAACATCATGAGGGATGTAACTGTGAAGGGTAATAATGATGGTTATTATCTGTTATTATGATGGTTATTATGATGGTAAAATGAACTTATTCTGATGGTTATTCTGATGGTTAAGATATTATGAATAATATCATTCTGTATCATGGTTATTATATGTTGTTATTATTTATCATTGGAATGAAGATAATACATAACATGATTCTCAAGCAGCTAAAGAGCTCTTCGGTAGTGGCTGGGTCTCGAACGGAGAAACACAGCCAGCCTCAGTCCCAGACGTGTCGATTCGCTTCATCAGCTCCCAAACAGTCAACTTGCCACTCTCCTGTCGGCTGGAGAACTGGATCATCGCATTCCTGGTTCAACCATGGTTCAACCATGGGTGCTGACCAAAGAAAGGGGGTTCCATACATGGGGATACCCCCAAATGAATGGTTTCTAATGGAAAATCCTATTAAAATGGATGTTTTGGAGGTACCCCTATTTCAGGAAACCTCCATATCAGAGATTATCAGAGTTATATAATAAAGAGTCATATAAGAGTCACATAAGTTATATTTGAAACGACCAAGCAATGGGTGTGGAATTACCATGCCTTGATACGTGAAAAAGGGACCCAGGTCCTCCTCGCGTGAGTACCTGGCGGGCCCCGAGCTAAGCTATAGGATAGCTAAGGTGCTGCCCCATGAGGGTAAATCCAATAAACCATCCCCAACATCACCATAAATGGATGTCATAAACCCAAAGCATCCCAAATCGTAGGTTTTTATGATTGGGTTTCCCGCATTATGGCTTTGTTGATGTTTACTATTGAAAATGGCCATTAATAGTGAGTTTTCCCATTAAAAATGGTGATTTTCCATAGTTATGTTAGTTGACCAGAGGGTACCAATCATATCTTGCATGCGCGGGCATGTGCATATCCCTACCACCGTATTTGTGACTGTGATGCGGCCCATCTGGATAAAAAGAGTGCACCGCTGCTCGTTCAGAGCAGTTCTGGTGGTCACGTTTCGGCCGGGTAGACACGAATGAAAAATCCTATGCATGCATGATAATTAATGCGTTTTTTTTGGGGGGGGATAGATATATATACATATATACATATAACATCATATAACATGTTTTGATTGTTTTTGCATATAACAAATATGTATAGGACTCTGTATATAACTATATTGTACATGAGTATATCATTATAATACACACCCTCATATACCGGGATAGTATCTTTAAGAGCTTCCAGCGAGAGCTGTCCATTCCATAGCAGCTATACCCAGATGATCCAAGTCCCCAAGGTACGGGTAGCGCATCAAAATGCACTCCATGAGCGTTAAACCCAGGCTCCACCTTGGGCAGTGACTGGAAGAACAGCCATTCCTGGATGATGTTCATTTCCAGTATACATGATTATACATGATTATACATAAGTATATCATAGTATATCAATGTATATCATTTTTTTTTGGATTCCCAATACCTTTTTTCCCCCCATATCCAATCCATATCCCAGATAGTCCCGGGTTGAAGCATACAGAACTGGAGCCATTCTCGCAGGAGAGGCGAGATAAAAAGCCACACAGGTTTGTCTCAATAAGGCTTCATATACCCTCTGGTAAACTAACATAACTATATGGAAAATCAACATTTTCAATGGGTAAATCCACTATTTCTATGACCATTTTCAATAGCTATGTTAGTCATTACCAGAGGGTATATGGACTAATCCACCCAAAAACGGCTGTTTCAGGTCGTGCACAACTTGCGTGAGACTAATCTTCACAGAGTTCACAGCCGGGTCCCCCAGCGTATCAGAGTTGTACTGGTAGGGCTTGCCCACCACACGTTCGGGTGACATGTAGTGGATGGTTCCAACCTCGAAACAGGTGACCTTCCCGCACCTTGGCGCCCTGATCCATATAAAGGTTACCGGTTACCGTGTATATATATATATAATAAGTATTAAAATTAAAATGTAATTTTCCAGTAATCAAACATGGCAACTGAAAATCCTATATGAATTGGTAGTTTAATTCGGAAAATCACCTAGAAATGGCGGATTTTCCATTGCCGTCTTTTATATTGTTTTATCCACAAAGGGTCACAAGTATTGCATACCCTCCGAGAATGTGTAACTTAACTGGAAGCCATAGCCCATGAAAAGTTCGATGATTTGCCTCTAGTAGAAATGGTGATCTTACATGGCAAACTGTTAAATTATCTTAAAATACCAGGAGGTATTCAATCACATTCATCATGGCTTGTGGACTGGCACTATTTTCTGGACCTCTTTGGTCCATATTTTTGCTGGTGATTCCCTAGCATTGCCATCACCACGTTCATCCATTTTCTTTGGTGCAAAACTCGCCCGTCTCAGCTGTCCCTTTCTGTCCCAGAAGCAAAGGTGACTTTGTTCTTCTGCTCGATGTCATCTTCCAGTTCACCGGACACACCGAAATCGGTGATCTTCACAATGCCCGTGGAACCTGCAACAAGATTTTCCAAGGCATGGTCCTGATGAGCCAGAAAAAGCAGGACTCAGCATGACTTAAAAATCATCCACAAGATCATCAAAATAATAAGATAACTGTTCCATGGTTCCATGGCCAAACGAAGCAGTAGCAAAAACAAATTTGATCCAGCGCAGCTCTGAACTGAGTTGGCACCTACAGTCAAACGACAAACTCATGCCTAACTCATGCCTGGGTCAAAACTTGCTAGTAAATCACCATGGAATTGCTGTTTCAAGAAACTCATGCCTAAGTCATGCCCAAATCTTAAAACACCATGGAATCGCGTATGTATAAGAAAAATGTTTCCACACTTGGGAAAATCAAATGTTCGCAAAAATCCGTCTACAGTTGCATTCTACCGTTCATGTTTCTGAAATTGAGAAATACTGCCGCTTCGGTCCGCTGACTTTTTTCGCTTTGCTGACTCTTTTCGCTTTGCTGCTCTCGGTCCATCAGTGGCTTCGCTCTGCCATCCGTGATTCACAACAACCAACCTCTCCTATAGGTTTCCTGTTTTTGAAACCACGACGTGCCGAACGACGTCCGAACGACGTCCGAACGACGTAGCAAACGACGTCAAAAAATAACAAGAAAGGCTCTCTGCCCACCCGCCTGCGGAACCACATAAGAAACTAAAACCGACACGAAGACACAACAATGACCCTTCTCACCTCCATCTCAAGCAACACGCTGAAGTGCCACAATGCCGCGTTGAGCACGCAGTGAAAAATGAAAATGGCTGCCGCAGCACACTGGAAAGAAAAGATAGAAACACCAACTCATCGCTACACTCACATCCAGTTTGACTTGGTATGGAAAAGGCTACTCTTGATGCTAAACACAACCTAAACGCAAGATTTATTGACAATATGGAAAAGGTACTCTTGATGCTAAACACAACCTAAACGCAAGATTTATTAACAATATGGAAAAGGTACCCTTGATGCTAAACACAACCTAAACGCAAGATTTATTAACAAAAACTATTCCAAAGACCAAATCCAACAAAACATTGCAATTCCTATGCGTTTTACTAAAAAGGCACGACTTTTCAAATCAAGTGCTCCCCAGCTATTTACGATGATTTCCAAATTTTAGGCACGACTTTACTGTATGGCACCTATGGAAGGTCAGGGCAAGGTTTTGGTATGGTTTTGATATGGTTTTCCTTGGGTTTTCCTCTCCAATCCGCAGTACGCAACGTTCCGTTGCCCCTTGGGCCCCCGAGCTCAGTAGCAGGTTCGAAGGCTTGATATCCCGATGGATGACATGCATCTCACCTCATGATCTCAGGCGCGGCCGGGTGCCCCAGTTCCATGCAAAATTCCAATGAGTAAATCATGGCTGGGAGCATCTCACAATCATCATCTAATAATCTAATATCTATTTGTCTGATACTGTCTGATGATCAGCATTTTGGAGGGGCTCAGTGGCTCAGCCCATCTTTTGGGACTGAAATGGGAGTATTCATCCAACAAAAAGGGGATGATTAAGCGACAACAATTGGGTAGCAACAGGATGCAACAGGGTTTGAACGAAGTGGGGGTTGAGCCACCAAGAAAATTGGACAGTTCACAAGCATTGGATACAATCAAGAATCATGCTCCCCTATGCTCCCTTACTTTTTCACTACCTGACCTTCAAAAATGGGAATGAATCCCGAACAATCATCGCACCCGGGGCATCATGTTTAGATATGTTTAGGGGCTTCGAGCCAATGGATTTTGTGGGAGGTCGAAAATAGTTGGATTGCAACCCTAACAACATCCAAACAGAAGTTGAGAATGATGTGGACACAGGTGGATAGGAAGGAAGTTCACAACCACCCTGATGATCTGAACATCGAGGCGAGGGCTGTGTAAGTGCTCCAAACCATCTAGAACCTGCAAGCACTGAGGGTGCTAAGCGTAGTGTGCCCCGGATGGTCGGCTAAAAGCAGCCTGAAAATACTGGTCACTTAGGAGTGTCATCCCAAAGGCTGAGAAACAAATGCTGGCTACCCTCTGGTAATGACTAACATAGCTATTGAAAATGGCCCATTTATAGTGGATTTACCCATTGAAAATGCTGATTTTCCAGTTCGCAAACTGTTAGTTTACCAGAGGCTAACAACCAGTCGAATTTCTTGCAATGACACGCCGTGCCGTGTGTTCAAGGTCGAAAAAACCCGCGGATTGTGGGCACTGTGCCACTATCTTTTTGGTCACTGGAATACATCTGGCCAATGTGTCCTAATAATCTCTTAACCATTGAACCAATATATACATGTATGTATATATATATATATATCACAAATGAATCATAACCGTGACACATTATATAAAAACAATATATATATATATATACATACATAGGCAAATATGTATATATATATATATATATACATACATATATATGTAAATACATCTCTCTCTCTCTCTCTCTTGTTCAAACATATTTGAAACCATCCGCCAGAGTTGCGCCCAAGACCCCCCAACAAAGAGCACCGCCTGCCATGTGATGTTGGCCAAGAGCCGCTCAGGGACTTGAAAGTCCGGGTTCTGAGGCCGTCGCAATTGGGAAACCATGGGTTTCCAAGCGAAGAAGGGGATAGGTTGGCCATGAACCGCAGGGATAACCATGGAAAACCATTGGTGCTAACATTCAGGAAATGTCCGAGGGGGAGTAGTGGCTCCAAATGTTCAGCAGGGTAAGTTACTACCATGGGTTTGTAACGGCATGTACCGGCTTGTACCAAAGACCAGGATTCTTGTATGCGTTCCCCTCATAACCCTTGTGGGCAAAACCACGCACGGATTACGTTCCAATGTTTGGTCTGCTGCCAACATTTCGTGGCAGCTTTAGAGTAGCTCAAGATCCACTTGAGATTCCAAGTGGAGTTGCTTTGACCACAGATCTAGGGACCAGCACCAGCTCCAGCTAAGCTCCAAACTGCTTTTTTCTTGGCAGCTAGGATGGAAGACAGAGCTCCTGCATTCATGTACCTGGCGCTCTTGAAAAGGTCGTGCTCAGCAGCACCAAGCAGCAGCAAGCAGCACCACGCAATAGGTCACCATGATTCAAAACCAGAAAGTAAATTACTGTAGGATCAAATATATATATATAATATATACATATATACATATATACACATATATATACATATATACATATATACATATATACATATATACATATATACATATATACATATATACATATATACATATATACATATGTACATATACATATATATATATATATACATAAACATTTCTCTCTCTCCCTCTATATATATATGTATACATACGTGTATATATATACATATCATATATAATATATACACATAACAAACCCCTGCGCACATACACACACACACACGCGTATATGATCGTGTATAGATAGATAGATAGATAGATAGATAGATAGATAGATAGGTAGATAGGTAGATAGGTAGATAGGTAGATAGGTAGATAGGTAGATAGGTAGATAGGTAGATAGGTAGATAGGTAGATAGGTAGATAGATAGATAGATAGATAGATTAGTAGATAGATTAGTAGATAGATTAGTAGATAGATTAGATTAGATTAGATCAGATCAGATCAGATCAGATTAGATTAGATACATAGATAGGTAGATAGATAGATTAGATAAGATTAGATTAGATCAAATTAGATAAGATAAGATAGATAGATAGATAGACAGGACATGTATATGGACAATATACGTACAACGCATTTCAGGCATGCACAAGATAAAGACATATAAATACTATACTTAGTGGCTTCAACCCGCCGTGACAAATGGCCAGGCCATTTAAACATGCCCCGCAGACTCCAGCGCCATGTAAATGCGATTGTCCTCGGCCATGGTGTCAGGATCCCAGGTATCGGTTCCAATTCTGTTGAAATTTGGATATAGTACCCTCTGGTAAATTAACATAGACCCTGTCAGATAGGGGTTGGAAGACTAGTTTCCATTAAAAATGGGTGAATTTCAGGGTCTATGTTAATTTACTGGAGAGTAATCTGAATATATCTGAATTATGAATCGACCATCATATAATATCATATATGTACACCATATACACATCTGTATACTGTACAAATCTGTATGCATAATATATAATATCTCCTAGCTTTGGGATATCCAGTAGTTGGCTTTGACCCACCATGAACTAAGTAACTAAGGTCCTAAGGATCACCTGGTCTCAGCAGCCAAGATTCGTGAAAGAAAGCGCCATAGTAGTCGACCTTGGACGTCATAAAGACGGTACAGTTTTTACGGAATCCCACAACTGTGGTCCATTTCCAGCTGCAGGTGTTTCCACATCTTTCAGAACTCAGAACTGTCTGCCCATTTACATGTTCCCATTTAAATTTTAAATGCCCTTTTAGTATCTCTCAGTTTAGGGATCTCCCAGCCACTTGATGCCCGGAGGGGAGACGCATGTAGACGCAGTCTTTTGGGCTTTTAGAGGCTTGGAAGTGGTTGTCAGAATCACACGACGCCTGAAAGCTGTCGAAGTTTTGAAACCACCTGACAAACAACATGCAAATACAGGCTATAATGCGGCTATAACAATCTATCACAGGGTGTATTCATCCATATTCCTTATGCTCCATGTGACATGTATTAACATTTATACCTATATTTACCTCAAAAATCACCGAGTTTTGAGGTAAAAATCACCTAGCACCGCCGCAAAGGATCTGCCAAGACGCGATGTGAGGACTTCGACACTTCGAAAAGGTCCTGGCGTCACGAGGGCCGATTGGCAGGATTCCTGAAGCCTCATCGATGATAGCGTGCGCACATATATAAATATACATGATATATGTGTGTGTGTGATATGTACAGTGCATATATATATATATAATATATATATATAATATATATAATATATATAATATATATATAATATATATATATACTGAGTGGCCGACCAATAGAGTGAAATGGACATTTCCTGCAATTTCAAAGTCGTTCTGCATAATACGTAGGAACTTCCATCTCTATTTTGTCTACTTAGATAGACTACGTGGGGTGACTCTAAGCGTATGTCCTCATCACTAAACCTCACAAGCCCTCTCTATATTCATCAGATTGCTTTAAGGGAAAAACAGCTGGAGTTGTTCAAAAATAAATTGGAAAACACTAGTTTCCGCTAGGGTTTTCTTGAACATATCCCAATGATCCACCTCACACAGTTACGATCAATTACACACTCTCCAGTTTGACGACTGGGGGTTTCCTAAGTCATGGGAGTATACAAGTATACCCCAAACCATCTACAGTTAGACCATTCGTATTGAAATCTATGGTGACGACTGGGGGCCAGTCGACGGAGACCTCCCCTGGACGGCGCCTCAGTTCCAGCAAGATGGCCTTGCGTTGGGGCTCGGCAATGTCTCCAGCCTGGCGACTCTCAATGAGTCGAAAATCAGGGGGTTTATACGGGGCAGCCGAGGTGAGTTGGTGGGTTGATTTATTAACGTGTTATAACTACAGAGGATCAAGGACTAATGGTGGATATTGATATGGACAGAATTAGTTGGGCTATCTAGGATTCATAGATATTCATAGTGGATCTGGATGTCAAAAAATTGTCAGTTTATTAAACTTATGTTAGTTTGGATATTGATATGGGGATTCAACATTGAAGAAAACTCATCGTGAACTCCTCTGGTAATTTGATTCGCGAGGTTTAGCCAGCCCATAAAGAATGAAAATCATCCCCAATCCATTCGCAAGGGGATGATGCTTAACCCCCAAACGTTTGGGTAATGGGATGGTCCGATGGTTGTTTTATTGGGAAAGGATCAACTATTTAGATGGGATATTGATGGGATATTGATGGGATATTGGTACGAAAGCAACTTACAAGGCAGGCCCTTCCAAGTTGCCTCTGGTAATTCAAGCGGGCAATGGAAAACTCTGACTTACATACAACTAGATAACTGCCCCATGCTTTCCCACGAATTTGAGGACTTCCCTCTGCCATGTTGAATACCAACAGGATCTAAAATGTATGTAATGTCAACCCCCGATCAAGAAACCTTGGCTGCAGGGTTTTTGCCAGGACATTGCATGTCCAAGTGTCCAAACCGAAGCACACCAAACACAGAATTTGCTGCTTATTTGAACATGACTCAAACTCCCAAAGCTATTCATCTCAATCATGATAGATAATGATCCCAAGAAGAAAGGAGTACACGGCAGAATCCAGCAAGCAATTTGACGAAATTGGATTTGACCCCCGTGTTTGTGGCATAACGGCATAAACCATTCCAAAACTAAAAAAACATCGAAAACATCTGAAATCCCAGTGGTTTTGGGTGGTAGACATGACAGAACAATGTTCTTCATCTCCATCTTCACCTGGTGAACAGACGGTTTTCCACCCAGCTAGATTCATCTTTGGTACCTGCATGATCTTCAAAGCCAGCTCGCGTCCGCTGGGAACGTGGCGATGCTTTTCCTGGCGTGGCCGGCGGGGGCGGTTCAAACATTTGTTCATCTAGTCAATGATGGGATCATTCATAAGCCTTAACAACAGATTTATAAACTCAAATAGTATATAATAGATCAATAAATTTGATCAATATAATTATGGACTTGAAGAATCAAAAACCAGTAAGAACATGTAAGGAAAAAAACATAGATGTACATTGGGACATATTGGAATATATTGGACAACATTCACCCGAGTTGTTCAAATGATGAAGATTGTGAGGCAGCATTTCAAACTAGGTCATTCATCATGTATCACCCAAGCAAACCCCCGCTGTAGCAACACGGGAAGACTCCATCGTTGGGAGATTAGTTTTACTCAGCATCCCTAGTGATATAACACTTCTTGGCACAGCTAGCACCGTTTTAAAAAAATGCGGGGTGAGAAATCTGGAATTATGATTTGCACTTGTTTTTGGCCCATTTTGAGGCAGTTCGTTCAAGGTTCGTTCAAGTTGCCACATGTTACTAAGCACAGCTATCTATTGAACAAACATGACGCAAACGCTCCCTTTTCAGATGCTGTCGAAGGTGACTTGAAGCTGCACGTTGGGACACAATTTCCTGAACTGCACCTGAGAAAGTCGATGCGCACAGTGGCTCAGCCCAGGGGTTCCCATAATTGATCGTAATTGTATATTGACTAATGGATGGTATAAACCCATCCCCAACTGGTGGGTTTTGTATTTGGTGCACCACATTCTACCAAGTCTCTATTGACTATATACCCATTCTATATAATTCTATTGTTACTATTGTTCGTATGCCTTGTCTAGATAGCTGCTACAAGTATGACAATGTCAAAAGCGATAGATAAGTGATTCCCCCTCTTCTTGACGATGATAAATGTATATATATATATATCTCTCTCTCTCTCTCTCTCCCTCGTATGCTTATGCCTGTTTTCCGGAGATTCCATGAGATTCCCGTGTAGTATCTCCATCATTGCATTTTGGATCCACCCATCATGCTGGGTAACCCTCCAAAATTTTGGGGGGTGCAACTCGTCAACCCCGGATGAATCCACCCCAGCGGGATCATGGGAGGACACCCCCACTTGTGGGCGCCCTAAATGTCCCAATTTAAGTGCGAGCTACTTCGTCCCATGAAACTGGCCCAACTGTTGGTTTATCGCCGGTGAAGCATCCCAAAAAATCCCTTGATTTGGGATGCTTTTCCTGACCAAATGCTACTGTCATTGGCAAACGATCATTCCGTTTACCCTAAACTCAATGGATTGGTTTAAGGGAAAATCTACAGGTTTTTACCATCAAATATAGGGCTTTCCTGTAAATTTTCCCATCATCCAGTTCTATGATAAACCCTTCAGCAAACTAACAGAACTATGGAAAATCAAGACTTATCACTTCTTACATTTCGATGTCTAAGTCATCAAATTCAATTGGGCAATCATGGCAATCTGGATCCATCTAGGTCATCTATACAGATCTATACCAAATTCTCTATAGCAAAGTGTTACCATTTCGTAATTCAACATAACAATGGAAAATGGATGAACATGGTCCATTTACATCCATTTACCTACTAAAGTGCGTTGTTCATCGATTTTCTGTAGCAAACTGTGAAAAAAATCACCAGAGGCGACCACCAAAATTCCAGCCGCCCCAACGATGCCCCAGGAACCATGGCCCACACACAGCTGAGGCATGGCGTGTGCGTCACGTGCAGCCGCAGGTGTCCCGTGATCTCAAGGCCACGGGCGTCCGCAGAGGAGAGGCCCAGGGTGGAGAGAACGGAAGACCTGAGAGACGGGCGTGGAAACCACCAAGAATCAGGGATTCTATGGGATTTTCATGGACTTTTTCTGTTATTTTTTATGGGATTTGGGGGGGATTATAGGATTATTGTTTCTTTTTTTGGTGATTTTATATGGGATGCTATATGATCTTGAGCGGCAACCATATTCAAAACTAAAGATCTAACTGATTAAATTAAGAAAACTGGGGATCCAATCACCAAATAGGACCCCAGCTTACTTCAGCATAGATTGGTCTTAAGAGAAAATCTACGTCGAATCTACGTTTTTCACCATGGCCCTTCAATTCTGGAAAGGTGCCTTGCCCAGTGGGGAACCTATCCTCCTAATGGATCCAATAGTAAGGCAAGTCTTTGAAGCGAGTCTTGAAGTGATTATGATAGGGAAAGTCGGATCAGGAAATAGGTCTTAATCAATGGGAGATCTTCAGGATCCTAAAATGGAGGTACGTTAGTACCATATAAGGCCATATTTTGGGGGTATATCCCCTTACATAGGTCTTACATAGGCCTTATATATGGTAGGTACCTCCAATTTAGGTTCCTGAAATGGCCATTAGCTTAATGACTGAATATACTTTTGTTGTGAATGCAAAGGGTCCTGGATCATCTGGGTCTTTTTGTCGGATCCCCAGATGCTCCATCTATGGCATATTTACCTACATTTGGGTGTTTTTTGGCGAAAATGTTGATAACTATTCCAGCACCATGGAGCATATGGCATTGACTACCACTGACTGGTGCCATTTTTTGGGGGGTCCCCCCACCCTGTCTCAACACCTGCAAGGCCAGCGCAGAACGCCAAGCATCAGTGCGAGAAACTCTGCATCACGGTGACGAGAAAAGCGCAGCGACACTGCTTGAAGGGGCGATCCTGGCTTTTGGAGGACCAAAGACTTCAAAAATCCAATTGGGTATGGGTCAAAATTGGGTACAGTACCCTAATAAATGAGACATAATTAGATGGTTAATACTGAATATATACCAAAATCTGTGGTCCCATAGTTGCTAAATTTTGACCCATACCCAATTTCCACCCTGTGGTAAATATACAGTTTGACCCTGTTTTTTTTTTGGTCGAAACCAATCTTCCAACCCCTATCCAGCAAGGATGAAACTGAGAATTTACTGGAGGGCAATTGCAACAACCTGAAGTATTTCACCAAAAATGAACTTCACTAAGAAAGAAATACCTTTTCAACCTCGGTTTGAAGATGCACCCTTGGACTACAGGAGGGTCCCGTACAATTTCAATGACCCAGCTAGCAATTGCTGGGCATGATGGTGTGACTTCAATTTTAAAAGAATGGTCCTGCTTGTGCATTGCCGGGAAGAGTAGGTACAAGCAAAGCACATATCCTCCATGTGCTATGTTACATACAGGGGCCATGATAAGCAGATATTACCACGCAAAGGAGGCAGCCTATGAAGTCTATGCGTTCAAGTATGGAGTCTAAGAAACATAAAACATCATAAAACTGCGAAAAACGATCTTCCCTACTGGTAGCTGCACGCTTTGACGCCTACGCATCCGACGCTGGCCGCTGGACTATCGAATTTTGGAGATACGATGGGGCCAGCATGATGAGCTGTTTATGCCATTGGTGCACATATCATAATCATGCACAGCACATAAGCAATTCTAATCTTTCATGTCACGTGAAAAGATATGAAAAGATCTATAATAATACACTCAATCCTCCGATATATCACCCATGTATAGATGATTCTCCCATTTTAAAACCTGTATCTATATGGATTTCCCGGCTAGACATGATAGATTACCAACGAGTTAGCTCATGAGTTGGGAGGTTGGTAAACTGTGGTGGTTCAGCCAGTGGGCCAGGCAATGTGGGTGTTATCCATTGGGAAATTGGATAGATCATGGATCATGTAGCTTCTATGGCTGACCTTCCCAAGATAAAAAGATTTTGCGATCTACCTTTGAGTAGCAGCTGTGGTGCTATTGTCACGTTGTTTCTATCTTTCTCCCAGCTATAGATGATTATCCAATATGCTTCCAATATTCAGTCGATCCCGGGTCTCCCATTTGTTGCCCCTATCTTGTCCCAAGTTGAGGCATGAAAAATACATAATCATACCCCTATTCTATCACGTGATACTGATTGGTTGAGAACGGGAATTCTAAAAACAGGATTATGATAATCCCTTTTAAGGTATTGGCTATTATTGTAACCCAATATTAACGTTTTGTTAGATCATTATTTCCCTATGATAATTCCTCTGAAATCAAAACAGATCAACAATCATTCTACTGGTTGGTTCATGGAGATCCTTAGAGTGGATTATGATAATCCCTATTCTTTTTTGACTTAGTAACTTAGTATAATCAACTAGAGATGGATTATCTATCAAACCCATAAAACTTATCGTGGATTATCTAATCATATGCTAAGATTGATTATACTAATACTAATCTCTTAGTTATAATCCCCCATTGTAGCAAATCAACCATGGAATTTTCCATGGCTCATGACTGGCGGAGATCTCCGTCGTCCTTCCGACGCAGAGCCGCTGGCCACGATTCGGCCCGTCTCCGCCAAGCTGTGCTCGCCCTGCTGCAGGCTGTAGGAAACCTGGATCTGATGGACGTTGATTCCCCAAAATGTGGGAACAATATATATATATATATATCCCATAGGATCCATGGTGCTGGTATATTTACCTACAAAACTGGGTGATTTATGGGGTAAATGTTGGTAAATATTCCAGCACCATGGAGCATATGGGTATATATATATAGCATATATGTTTTGACATGTTTTGACCCCCAGGAATCTGATGGGAACAGAAATATAGAACTGCTTGAGTATATCTTGGTGTAAAAAATATGGTTAAATCACTAATTATATACACTAGATGATTTGGGGGTGTCCTAAAATGGGGGTACCCCAAGTCACCACGGGTTTCAAGACTATAGGTCATGATCTAATGACTTGGATGATGACTGGCTTAGGAAACCTCCACAATGTAGATATAGAACTGTTTGGTATAAGATGTATAAGATATATAAATCCAGTATACAGCTGTATACTGTATATGTACATGAGCGCCGATTGTTTTATACAGTAATATACAGTAGTAGATTGAACTAGGGTCTCTTCCGGTAGTTTGTTACCACTTCCATGGCATTGGGGGCTTACTCTCTGACAGATAAAACTGGAGGTCGCCGTCCCAAGCTTCACCAGGGGTCCAGAACCCTCTCCATCCACATCCGAGTTGGAGGTTTATCTCCAGAAATCACCAACAATCAATCTGAGTTTGTCTGATGATGGGCTGTTATATATATATATATATGTGTGTGTGTGTGTTCCAGCGTATATATATATATATATATACATATATATATATGCAGAATATATATATATATATACACACTCCCTCCCCCCCCCAAAAAAAACACATCAAAATGAAACCAATTGGGAGGGTATGGGCTCCATTTTCGGACAAACCCAATCTGAATGGTAAACCAAGCAACCAAACATAAAACCTGACCGAAAGCTGCCATTTCGCCCAGCTCATCCTTGGTTTTGAGGTTCTGTTGCTTGAAGAAAAGATTGATACAGCAATGACAGGCGGTCATGGTTGCAGCTGCAAGCAGGCAATTTGCAGCTTTAACCACTGTCAAGTTTTGAATTGCAGCTGGTCTAGCTCAAAGACCCATGCTAACAACAATGTCGTGTCTTGGAGACATCTAAACACAGCAATATATAATAAATGCGTCGAAGGCCGGCCTCCATTTGAGCAATCTAGTGTAGTATGTTTGCTATTGCCGGTCACAAAACACTTGCCCGTCTGGGGTGGCTTCAGTCAAATCGCCAATGACATTGTTAATGCTACGTATGTAATTTCTTGTTTTCTTAAATAGTTTTTTGTGCGCTTACTTCCAGCCCCTTCATAAACCAAACCAGGATCATTTCAGGATCGCTGAATTTGAGATGGGAAGAGTTGAAAACGAATGTCAGTCAGCTTGGGTGCGGCCACTACATTATATCATTATAACATATTATAACTCCGCTGAAAGAAATCCCATCTCAGCCTGACCTCAGGCCAGAAAAATTGTGAGGTATTCCATGGTATTCCATGTCCTATGGTCCAACATCGTCCAACATCGTCCAACATCGTCCAACATCGTCCAACATCGTCCAGGCTCTGCTGGAGGCGGTCCATCCACCACCCCCAAGCGTCGCAGCAGGGACGATGTACGCATCCCCAGACTGGTGAGGCCGAGGCCTCGCAGCTTCTCAGCCACGTCCTCGCCCTGGCAGCACCCCGGTGACCCGGTGATGGAGGAAAAAAAACATCCGGTGATGGACAGAAGAAACGATACCCTCTGGTAATTTAACATAGCTATTGAAAATGGCAATTTATAGTGAGTTTTCCCATTAAAAATGGTGATTTTCCATAGTTATGTTAGTTTACCAGAGGGTATGCCAAAAAAAAGGGCAACATGTATGGCAACTGGACTAACTGGACATTTCCACCTTGATGTGACCATTGATATCCATTGATATCCACTACTATCCACTTATATTCAACAAGTTGCTCTTGTCGGGCTTCAAAAGTCCCCTCTCATTATCCCAGAAAGCTCTCTTTTGCGCTCAAACTCATGACCCCCCATTCAACCTCTGGACGATTTAAAGGAAAAAAACATATTATATATGATATATCATTATATATTATTATTAATTATCATTATCATTGGCCGAAACCCACTGGGTTTAGCGCCTCCAGGGCTTGAAGAGTCTGGTCCTCCAAGTGCTGCAGTGACTGCTCCAACTGTGGCACCAGATGGCCCACTCGTTGCAGATGATCACCTCGGTACTGATCTAAGTGATGATGGTACACTAGGTGGTGCCCCATATTTAGCTAAGTTGGTTTATAAGTCCAATAACTAGGGTTTATTGGGGTTATATCTATAGTTAATGGGGATTATAAACCAACTTATAACTGGGGGGCACCACCTTACAGCTGATGGTACAGCTGATGGTACAGCTGAGCAACTCAACTGCACAATGGCATCCGGTGATAGCGCGTTCTTCTCTTGCAGTCTTGCAGCCTGTTCTGCGATCCTGGGCGTGGCATTGAGGAAGTCGTCGTGTGTTTGTTTCATCCATTCGTTGGAGTGGTTGGATTGATATCGACCATGAATTTCCTATGGGAAATCAGCCAGGCTCTCTTCTCGTTCCCAAACATTCCAACATACCCTCTGGTAATTTAACATAGCTATTGAAAATGGCTATTTATAGTGGATTTTCCCATTAAAAATTGTGATTTTCCATAGTTATGTTAGTTTACCAGAGGGTATTCCTCAACTTCTGTTGCTGGTTCCTGATTTATTCTCCTCAGTTTGGCAATCAAACAATCACATCTGGCGATGGAAATTCAGTCAAACCTAGTTTTTTTGTTACCAGAGGGCACCTGCCCCTGCCATACCCAAGATATTTAGATGAAAAACACACGATGTTCAACGATGTTCAGATGTTCGACCCAAAAAAAACGGGAGAAACTCAAGGCAACCTGGTGACTCATACCGCCCCACCCCTGCCTGGCTGCCAGCATCTCATCTTCTTCTGTCAACGAGGAGCTCAACATCGACAGCTCCTGAGAACCCAGCCGATTTGAACCCAACTTGTTTGGGTATAGTTTATGACACCACTCTAAAATGGTATGTCTGGGATTGTCTGGGTGGATTTTTGTGTTTGCCATCCACACTGTGTGCAGAAGTTCTGTCCTTTCCCTCCAGTTGATCCACCCGCGCCACAGCTTGATGTCTCAGCCGCCCCAGAATCTCAGAGCCACGTCGCAGATGACGCCGTTCCAAGGTAATGGCCATGGCCCATGCGGCGGAAGCCATCTCCTGCCCCCAAAAATCAGTGAAAACCAGGGCCTTCTCACGGTTGCGTTTGTTGATTGTATAAATTGAAAGGAGAAGAAACCATAGTCATGGCATATAGAATTGCAAGGGCACTGTCACAAACTTTTTTGAACTCATCTCGCTGAATCATGCTGCTTTACCACGCAACTGGGTTCCATTACAACCATTACAATGACCGGCTTGGGACAGGCGACTGCACCTTCATCCTGACTCAGCATTTGCAAGGGAAAAAACAACCTTGCCAGTATAACTCCTATGATAACGTTGAGTTGTTGTCTTGTGTCATTGTTTTGTTTTGTTTGTCATTTTTCTGCCGTGCTGTTGTCATGCTCCTTTGGGGACGGGGTTGTCCGCTAAGGAAAGAAAAACCTGAAACCAGAAACGACACAAAACATGACCTCACAAAACAGGAATGACAAAACCATGGCGACAAACCCCAAAACTCTCTGACAAGGCTTCAGTCGAGAGTCTATGGTCAAAAAAAAAATAACCACCAAAAATCTCATTCTCCCCTTTGGTTTTCCAGCAACATATCCAGCCTGGTTTTCCAACCCAAACACCCTCCATGGTTTCACCGGTCATGGCCCGCCATGGCCAACTCCAAAGTCCTGTGGCTTCCACGGCCCAAAGTCGCGCACCGCAGACTTGGGCAGCGCCTCCAAGTGCCGAAGGAGGCGCTCCAGGTGGTCTGCCTGAGCCGTCACCTGCAGGGGCGGCTCACCCAGCTCCCCAAAAAAGCTCGAAATATTAGCTTCTACTGGCCACAGGCCAAATATACATGCATATATATAATTATATATATATATATATCGTGTGAATATGTATAGATATATAGAGAGAGATGGATATATAGATATTTAGGTAGATAGATGAAATTAGATAAAATCTGATTAGATAAGATGAGATTAGATATGATTAGGTTCGATGTGGATCTAGACTAGATTAGATTTAGATAAGATTAAATTAGATTTAGATCTGGATTAGATTAGATAGGTTAGTTGGATGAGATAGGTTAGATAGATTAGATAGATTAGATAGAAGGGCTAGATTAGATAGATTAGAAGATGGAATAGATAGGTTAGATAGGTTAGATAGGTTAGATAGGTTAGATAGGTTAGATAGGTTAGATAGGTTAGATAGGTTAGATAGATAGATAAGCTAGATAGATAGATAGATGGATTAGATTAGATTAGATAAGGTAAGATAAGATAAGATAAGATAAGATAGATTAGATTAGATTAGATTAGATTAGATTACATTAGATTAGATAGATAGATAGATAGATACATAAATAAATATATAGATAGATAGATAGATAGATAGGATAAGATAGATAGGATAAGATAGATAGGATAAGATAGATAGGATAAGATAGATAGGATAAGATAGATAGGACAAGATAGATAGGATAAGATAGATAGGACAAGATAGATATGATAAGATAGATATGATAAGATAGATAGGATAAGATAGATAGGATAAGATAGGATAGGATAGGATAGGATAGGATAGTATAGGATAGGATAGATCGATAGATCGATAGATCGATAGGTAGATAGATAGATAGATAGATAGGATAAGATAGATAGGATTAGATAGATAGGATAAGATAGATAGGATAAGATAGATAGGATAAGATAGATAGGATAAGATAGATAGGATAAGATAGATAGGATAAGATAGATAGGATAAGATAGATAGGATAAGATAGGATGGTATAGGATAGGATAGGATAGGATAGATCGATAGATCGATAGATAGATCGATAGATAGATCGATAGGTAGATAGATAGATAGATAGATAGATAGATGAGATGGATAGAATAGATAGAATAGATAGAGTAGATAGAATAGATAGAATAGATAGAATACATAGGATAGAATAGAATGGAATAGAATGGAATAGAATGGAATAGAATGGAATAGAATGGAATAGAATGGAATGGAATGGAACGGGATGGAAAGGATAGGTAGATCGATTGATCGATAGATAGATAGGTTAGATGGGTTAGATAGACTAGGTAGACTAGGTAGATTAGATATATAGATTAGATAGATTATATAAATTAGATAATAGATTAGATAGATTAGATGGATTAGATAGATTAGATAGATTAGATACAGATTAGATAGATCATATAGATTAGATAGATTGGATAGATTAGATAGATTGGATAGACTAGATAGACTAAATAGACTAGAAAGCAAAGATATATTTGAAAGATTAGAAATATTAGAAATAATGGAAAGATTTGATTGATTTGATTGATTAGATTAATTAGATCGATTAGATTGGTTGGATTCAGATTGATTAGATTGATTAGATTAGATCGATCGATAGATAGATAGATAGGTGGGTAGATGGATAGATGGAATATGGATAGACAAATATATAGATATATATATGAATATGCATACGCAAATATAGATACAGAGGTAGATACAGAGAAAGGTATACAGGTAGTGACATAGATAGATAGAACAAATAGATTCAAAGATCGATAGCTTCATAGATAGCCAAATAATGTACACCGATAAGTGTCCTGGTACCCTACTGTGAATTTTTTCCTGACTAATTGAGAATCCTGCCGTTTGTTGGGGGCGGGGCTCTATTGTGAGAAGTTTTTTCTCAGATCCAATTTAACAGGAAAATCAATTGAAAGTAGGTTCACATGAATTGAAAGTAAAATGATTTCAATTGAAATCCTTTCTTATCAATATGTTTTGATGTTTAAAAGGAAAATCAATTGAAAGTAGATTCACATGAATTGACAGTAAATTGATTTCAATTGAAATCCTTTCTTATCAATAGATTTCTTTGAGGTTTTTAAGGGAAATCAATTGAAATTAGATTCACATGAATTGAACATAAATGGATTTCACTTGAATTCCTGTCTTATCAATAGATTTCTTTGAGCTTCAAAACGAAAATCGATTGAAAGTAGATGGATTTCAATTGAAGCCCTTACTTACATAAGTTGATCATCCTGAGTCCCCCAGACCTGGTCCCCAAAACAATGGCGAGTTATTGAGCGTACTAAATTTGTTTGGGGGGGGGGCCCTACACTAATCAGCGTCCAACATTAGATAGATTGATAGACAAATAGGCTTTAAAATTTTAAACCTATTATATATAATGTGGGTAAAACATGGTAAAACAATGTCATAAACCACCCATTTGGGAATGGTAAACATACGGTAAACATACCACCTATAAACATTGTGATGACTGGGGGATGGTTCGTGGCATTGTTTTACGCGCATTATATCTATTACCCTCTGATAATGACAAACATAGCTATTGAAAATGGCCATTTATACTTGATTTATCCATTCAAAATGGTGATTTTCTAGTCAGTTATGAATATTATCCATTAAAAATGGTGATTTTCCATTGAACATGGTGATTTTCTTGATTATTCCGTACTTATTTAATTACGTAAACGTTTACCAGAGGGCCAGAGGCTATCATTCTGAATCTCACGACCAGCAAAAACCACCCAGACGCCAAAGGGCCGCCAGGGACCAGAAGACATTGGCGCATTCCTGGGCACCAAACCTCGGCTCCGTCGACCGTGGTGCCGTGGTGAAGTCTGAAGCCAAAACACCAAGTCATTCGGGAAATGTGACCATTAGTGATGATTACATTAGGGAAAAACACCAAGTCATAAAACATCATCTAAAATTTCCAGTGACCAAATGTGATGATTTTACCATAGTCTTGGCCACTGGACATTTTAGATGATTTTATGATGATGATTTGTTACATTCTGAGTTAGTTTACTGGTGGAGTAAAGATATGAATACAGTTTGCGAATGAACAATTACTTTGTGGTTCTCATAAAAACATCATATGCAGCAAGAACATAGGTCATGGATGTGCAGCCCACTTTGTACGTTGCTTAAGAGAAATTGTTTTCAAACCCACATATGGCTGGTTTGCTTCCCACATAAAACTAGCTCGTCATACCACAGCCAATCTTAGATACCCTGCCAAAAAAAAAGTTTTGGGTGGGTGAGTATCCTCATTTATGGCAAAAGAAGATCAATGATTCTTTTGCATTGGACTATCAATCCAAATATTGCTACCAGGTGTAGTACATAGAGTAATTTCCCTATAAAACTTGTAGTTCAGGGGTATCTCCCCGAACTAACCGGGACCCAACTCGAAAAACGGTTAAATCACCGGAAGATGTGGGGAAGGCTAAACCGAAAAAAAAATCAGAGGCTTACCCTTGAATTACAACTTTATGGTCTCAGGTTGAATCACTTCTCAAGTTCTCAAGTCATTACCTTATATTTATGATCCACATCTATATATTAGATATGCACAAAAATCACCCCTTCCTGCTGGCATGCGAAACTCGGATGCTCGTTCTGGAAGCTCCTCTAAAAGCCATGAAGGCATAGAAGCCTCGGCAAAAAATGGCTAAAGGGTAACCCCAAAAAAAGATGCCGAAAACGATTGTCAGGATGCTACAGGTGATTTTTTCTCCATAATCTTCCAGTTTTCCCACGTTTCTTTGGGGGGGGCATCTACCTGAGGGTGGTATTTTTTTTTTAAATAATGGGCATAATTGTACGTATAACTAATGTAACAACCTTCATCAGATCAAATATAACCCGTAGACCTATGGTCATATAACCCACTTGTTGGTGGACCCCAAAAGTATTTACCGATACACTGGTACCATCAATAGTTAACGAATGGCAAAATCCTTCCCCAATGGTCCAGTGATTGATGATTTTCATCCATACGATGATCCGTCCAAAATTGGATAGAAAGGCAAAAATCAATCCTTAAGCCTTAAGTAGTTGCGGAATAGTGTGCCATTCAAACAGCTTGCTACCAGCAAAGATCAGCAGAGTATGGTACTGAAAATAAACACCAGTATATTTGCTATGTACTGTTAAAGTTAAAATCCATCTTTTACAGCTTACAATAAAAGTAGCCTTTATAAACCCTAACATATCCACAATGGTTCATAATCAAGTTTTGATTGTAAAGAAAAAATCGAAGATGCAGGAACTAGACGAACTAGCAACTGTTGAAGATTTCTAGTCGGTTTCTGGTAGCTATTGAATCCATACAATGATATGTTTCATTTTGGGGTTGCCAGTTTGAGATGTTTAAGCCACACCATGCCACACCCATTCAATTTTGGAAGAAGCACATGTGAACCAAATGCAGCAGCCTTTTTGCACTTCAAAATTAGCCTCCAAATTTTGGGATGGTTTGCTGTTAGGCATGTTTGCTCATCTGGGCCATTTATTACATGAAGCACGTAGTTGTGATGATTACCCTGTTGCAGCATCATTTGACCAATTCTACCCATCCAATCATGGATTGTCTCCCAACTTCACCATCCAGTTGCTACCAAAAGTATACAAAAGTGAAGTTTCAATACCATCCCATTTTATCATATGTTTTTCCAACCATTTTTGGCCAAACTCCTGGTGTCCCAACCTAACCTCACCATGCCGTGTCCCACCTGAACGGTGGCCACGGACCAGGACATGTTCGCCACCTCCCGCGCCTTGAAGTCGCTCAAGGGATGCTGCTCCACCTGCAAAAACCAACGGTGTCATCAGCCACGTGGCTGGGAAAATCTCCTGGGTTTCTGGAGGTTTTCATGGGGAAATCATCTGTAATCAATGGGAATTCCAGGATCCTAAAATGGAGGTACGTTAGTACCATATTTTTGGCCATATTTTGTGGTGATATTCACATAGGCCTTATATAGGCCTTATATATGGTAGGTACCTCCATTTTAGGATCCTGAAATTCCCATTGATGTAATGACCATCTTGTTGGAATGGTCCATCATGTTTGATTGCCACAAAGTCATCATCCCCTCCTCAACTCTGGTAATTGTGAAATATGATGATAGTGTATGATACAATGTGATGCCCCGCTGAATTGTGCGTTTTTTTTAAACCCCCATTGACCAGTTCGATAGATCTACCATAATCATTCCATAAACCCAACCGTAAAAAATGAAATCACGGAAAAACAACTTAGCCAACTATAATAATAACCATAACCATCACCAAAAATGGATCTACCGTAACCATTCCATATAGAGCTCTACATAAACTTGGCCAACTATGGGGAACCACCGAAACCACTGGAAGCCCCAGACCGACCTGCTGAAGAACTTCGCGATACGTCCGCTTGGGCACGGCTAAGCCTTCCGACTCCAGGGCTGCAAAGGACCAAAGCCTCAATTGCCAAGGCGGATGGATTTCGTGCAAAGTTGGTCGACAAATTTTGCAGTTAAACATGGGGATGCAACAACTAAAGTTGGGATCTAATCAACAAAGATGGGGGTTTAACCAACAGGAGTTCGGATTTAAGCAAGAGACAAATCAAGTGAAGTAAAGCACCATAGATTCCATAGATATTTCGAATCTCCCATGTTTGGCCTGTTAGATCTACAGCATCCTACCGTCCTAGTTATTTCAACTTAAAGTGTCTGTCCACTGAGTCGGCTCCGCTCTTAAGAAAACGGTGAGCGAACGCCAGTGATAAATACCATCCCCAAGTGACCCCGAGATACTAGGAGCATAACATGTGAATAAAACCCCCCCTAAAACCTGGGTTTATCATGATTTATCATGATTTATCATGATTTTATAGGGGCATTCTATGGCATTCTGCATCTTGGACCATACCTCAAACTGTGGATGTACCCTGTTTTCTTTAAGCCTCTATTTTGGATGGTTGAACATAGTCAAACATGACTTTTGCCGCCCAGGCTAACCACGCGTGGTACTGATTACCATATTCTCGGATTTGCCACATGACCATGTTATTGATAGTGATTGCCACATTTACCATGCTAGTATCAGGTTGCTTGCCATTGTATTGACAATAATCATACATCATATGTAGTAACTTAACCCCCACCCCTCCAAACAAAAAGAGGAGCCGTCTTCGAGGACGCCACATAGATGATATTTTCCGCACAAGTCTCTGTTTTCCGGCTTTTCGATCTATGACTGGGGGTTTGCTCTAGACTCTATAGATGATCTCCCGGTGATCCTCCAAATAACTTCCGATCCCATCATTGCTGGTTAAACCACCATTTTCCACCATTTTCCACCATTTTTCATTGGTGAGTTTCCTATGTCTGTTGGTAAAACCTCAATTCCTGATGAATCAAGCCACACTTTTTCATGGTGAAATTCTCATGTGTCATGATCAAATCACCACATGTCATGGGTTCGAACCTTGAAAAACTCATTTAACCCGAATCCCTTGTAATTTCACCATTTCCCTCAAATAAAACCAGAATTTTCCCTGGTTCAACCTCCATGTTCCCCCGGTTTTTCGATGAAGATCCCCAGTTTCGACCAGGCACATCATCGCCAAGCCCTGCGGCGTCACCTCCGGCAGCCTCAGCAGCAGTGGCTCCCAGAAAACCTGCCGCGTGAAGGGCGACAAAGGCAGCTGGGCGCCGGAACGTTGCGCCCAGGCCTGGGGACTGCCATGCCCATAGGATCCATGGTGCTTGGATCCATGGCACACCATATATAGCAGCACCATGGATCCTACGGGATGGTGCTGAGAGAAACGACGCATGGAAAAGATGGGGATGGCTTTGCGCTTTGCCAGGTGGAAACAGCCGGAGAGATGTCAATATAAATACGTTGTGCGCATGTTACAATACTGCAATAGTAAGAAAAAAGGATCTAGCACAAGATTGGCCAAGAAAATCCAAACAGCGTCCGTTGCAGCCCTAAGAATTCACTTCTTTGATGATTGAACCATGCCACACACCTATGATTCATGATCAAAACCTACAATTCATTAAATGTAAGTTCCAAACAAAAATCGACATGCTTAGATCCTAAGACTTACCGTTAGTTGCACATTCCATTTACCCTCTGGCAATCTACCATAGATATGGAATGCTATGGACATAACCTGCATGTTTAATAGGTTGACCATCTAGAAACAGTCATTTTCCATGGCTATGTTAGATCACCACCGAGGAACCAAGGACCACAGCAGCACCGGCAGGTCACGTCCGGGCGCGCTTTCAAGGCCCAAATCAAAGCTGCGGCGGAGGATTTGGGCCATGACGGCCTGGGAGGAACCCATCCAGTCCCGAAAATTCATTGGTGGAATATGGTGGAATGCGAATGAAGCCATCTGGTTGGTGGCTTCAACCCCTCTGAAAAATATTAGTCAGTTGGGGTGATTATTCCCAATATATGGAAAAATAAAAAATGTTCCAAACCACCAACCAGCCATAATATTCCATAGGATCCATGGTGCTGCTATATATGGTAACATGGATCCCATCAATATACCCCCAATGTTAGCATATATACCAGCACCATGGATCCTATGGGTATTGATTATCATGTAATATGAATAATCATCGATATGAGTGAATATTATTACATATTGGTGGAATGTACGGTGAATAATCGTGACCCCCATGTTTACCATACATAGGTAATCATGAATTAAAATGATGTAATTGATGTAAATAAATCATGCAATTATTGAGCAAATTGGATTACAAATGTTTGATTTACTTAATGAATGGAGTTCTGAGTGATGCAATCTTATTCATGGAGGACTACTACCTACCCAATGTCTGATAATACGGGTGATTCTTTTAAGTTTTCATTGAATGCACAAGGACCCCCAGTTAGATGGGACCCCTATTCCCATCCAATGATTTAATGGCGGCTTGGAAGACATATGTAAGGGACCGCAGAAAGGGAGCGTGACTTCCATTAATTTCACATGGGTCCATCAAATCTTGACTTCCGATACACCAAGCAGGGGAAGCAGGGCCTGCTACAGTCGATATCCAACCACCTTCCACCCAAGCAAGCTGACACCGCTCAGCCCAAGAGTAAGAACTAGCAAACACGCACATTTGATGCAAAAAACATCAACTGTCCCACCTTAGCCTACAAGTTCCGAATGAAATGTTGAAGGGTTAGATCTCATCAAAATATCAACATATATGAGCCATGGTCAATACTCACTATATGGTTGATGGTCATCCCATCCATAATAAGGATCCTTATAATGGTTATTATATGTTATTATAAATCTCTATGAACCATTGGATGACTAGCCCCTATTAATGGTTATTAACCATGAGTATTGACCATAGCTCATATCAACCTATGTTAACCCCACTGGCCATCCATTCTCTTGGTGAAGAATCCATGCTGACCAGGCCTGACCGTTGGGGAAATCCGGCGCTTCCCAGGTGGGCAATCGGCACAGCGCCCAGGCGAGGTTCGTCAGGCTATGCCAAGAGTCAGTGCCTTGCACCTGGCTCTGACAAGTTCACGGCAGTTAATGGGATTTTAATGAGATTTTAATGGGATTTTAATGGGATTTTAATGGGATTTCCATGGTTAATCATGGTTCATCATGGTTAATCATGGTTAATGATGAGTCAAAACATGGGATCTGCTTGGTGGTGCAATGTGCACCATCTTGAAAAATGATGGAGTGAAAGTCAATGGGGTTGGGATGACATCCCATATACTATGGGATTTGGCATACCTTCTGGTAATGACTGACATAGCTATTGAAAATGGCGATAGAAATAGTTGATGAAAGCCATTCAACATGGTGATGTTCCATAGTTATGTTAGTTTACCAGAGGGTAGGTCATCGAACTAGGAGTCATGACTTCCAGTCAACTGCGAATTACTGGAGGCTAACGTCCCAGTGGTTTTTCCCCACATCAATTCCCCTATTGTTCATTGTGCCATCAGTTCCCCTATTATTCAATAATGTTGAGACAAACTCTTACCCTCTGGTAATGACTAACATAGCTATTGAAAATTGTCATTTTTCCCCACATGAAATACCATTTATAGTTGATTTACCCATTAAAAATGGTGAGTCATGACTAAATCCCCATGAAAAATCACCATGGTATTCCCAGCAATTCTGCGGGCACCAACTCTCCACTGCAGCGTGACAACAGCTGCGACATCGTTGCGGCCGTTGCGGCGCAATCGCCTGGAGCTCGGCTCCGGTGCTGCGAATGGATCCCATATTGAAAAAAGAATGGATTAATGGGATAATATCATGAAAAATTATGATACCCTCTGGTTCTGACTAACATAGCCATGGAAAATTGCACATAGAAATAGATGGTTCACCGGGGTTTACCTATCAAAAATGGTGCTTTTCCATGGCTATGTTAAATAGCCAGATGATAAATGAGATGTAAATGATGCTAACAATCACCCAATCCTATGGATTAATTCATGGCATTTGACTGCTTGAAGTCTAGTTTTTGCCCCAAAATACATGGGTGTCCCAATGCTTTTTTGCCTTCAACCAAGCTCCATTAATATTGCAGCTAGTTCTCCAGATGTGACCTTCGAGGGCCTTTGGGGATCAGAGATTCGGGGCCGCCAGCCACAAAAAGGCCGCCTTGGCCACTGGCGTCCATCATCTTTGCAATGCGACCCAGGGAAACCACAACCTCAAGGCAGCTGTGACCGAGGTTAAAAGATGTGAAGCGAAACAAAGTCAAGTTTGATGGTTTGGCTGATCTACGGCAAGGTTATCGTTTCGATGATATGTTTGATACCTCAAACACTCAAACACGTTTTTGAACCAAATCAAACCTATGGTTCGCTCTCATCCAATCTATTGCCCATGGGTTTAATCGATTTGGCTCAATTCATCCCATCTTTGATGTCTTGAAAAACGTCAACTCCACGACAGGAGACGTTTGGCAGGTCCATCTCCGGAGCTTGCGCTTTGGCCAGCTCCTTGGGGCCGCTAACGGGATTGGATTTTGAGGCAGTGGATGCCTTCTTTGCCGCAAGGAGATCCAGATCTGAGTATGTATCACACACACACATGTATGAGCATGATGCACATGCAAATAATTCATGTATGTGATTGTATACCGTATATGTATATCATTTATACATAGCCCCATAGAGTCGCCCCTGGCAGCAGATTTACAGGATTCAAGGATGATACCGACAAAACCCTGCATGACTCGCAAGAATTCTTGAAGATATTAACATGCAATAACATACGCTAACCTTGAACATAGAGGTCCAATCCTGATGTTTGTAAATGTGTCCCAATGCTCTTCAGCAATCTCTCGGATCTGGAAATGTCCATTCCACAATTCAGGGACCTGTCTATTATCTGAGATTTGCTTAGGTCTAGGTATGTGTAAATTTCCAACTCCTTTCTGTTGAGTGTGGGATATCAATATAGCTCGAAAATGCCTTGGACAACCTTGCACGCTTAGGTGATCTTGGGCATGGTATGCTTGAAGTGGTTGGTAACTCTGGTTAGATCTGGTTAGTAAGTCCCCCGATGCGTGGAAGATCCCAATGATAAATGGGTGAACGAGCCCCAGTTACTAACCCCTTACGAGTCGGTCATGCTCCAGGAACTGAATCTCACATCCAGACCAAGGCTGACACTAAGAACTCTTCTCGCCCTGCTTGGCGCAGCTTTCTGTTGAGTTTCGCCTGTCAAAAAAAAATGAAAGCGACGGGCTAGGCGATTCGCAGCAGCTGTGCCTGTTGGTTTAACACCAAACGTCCCGTGTAGAAATTGGTCAGTCAGCCTCTCTTGCTTTTGAAGGTGCGAATGATCCGGATGACACCACATCATCACAATTTCCAGAAAACAATGTGTGTATATACATATGAGCGTGCGTGTGCATGTGATACGTGTGTGGCTATTGTATAAACAAAGAAGTCATTCAATGAATTACATGTAAAATTTAAATACATGTATATATTGCGGGTTGTTTTAAATTCTGGTCTACCTTAGGTGTTGAAATTGACATCTATACATGTGGAGGTTTCCTAAAATAGGGGGACTCCTAGATATCATTCATTTGGGATACCACCATTTATGTAAACCCCTGGAAGTCATGGTAACGCCACCTCATGGTAACGCCACCTGTGTGATCAGGCTGCAACGCACCTGCTGCGTGCCGAAGCAGCGGCCAAGCATGGGCCAGCGCCTGCTGCCCCAGAAACAGCATCCGGTGGCTATCATTTACCGAAAAAGGTCCAAGCAGCCCTGAAAAACATGGATGGTTTCAGGGTAGAAAGTTGATTTCAGGAAATGTGAAAGACATGCTGGTCTTTGTCGTTGATGGTCAAAGGTTGAAAGGTTCTGGAAACCGTTAGCTCCAGGATATGATTCTATGTCTATCTATCTATCTATCTATCTATCTAATCTAATCTAATCTAATCTAATCTATCTATCTATCTACTCTAATCTAAACTAATCTAATTTAATCTTAATCTAATCTAATCTAATCTAATCTATCTGTCTGTCTCTCTATTCCTCTATCTATCTATCTATCTAATCTATTCTAATCTCATCTAATCTAAATCTAAATCTAATCTAATCTAATCTATCTATCTATCTATCTATCTATCTATCTATCTATCTATCTATCTCTCTCTTCTTCTGAAATTCTGGTGCTCACAGTTGATGGTTGATCGTTATTCAAGTTGTTTTCTGGACATGTTGCAGGGAGTTTGAGAAAGGCTCCGCTGGGGCTAAGGGTTTGAGTTACTTGTTGCCTTCGGCTCCATTTCAAAGCAACATCCACAAGAAGACTGATAGGTTTTTGATTGACATTTCTTTGGCCAATAGCAAAACACACGCAGGTGTACAACAAATGATGCGGAATGAAAATCATGAACAGAATGGAATTAATGAACCTTTGATTGTTCAAACACCAAAGTATGGTGTAGTCATAAGTGCATGTGGCACGGCTACCAGCCGTAAAAGTTGGAAATCTGGACAGCATAAGGTTTTCACATCAGTCATGATACCTTGGAACAGTTGCCCTGTGGGGGACCCGTCTTTGCGCTTTAGATAGCTTGATTCTAATCATGTATCCCAGGGTAAATTAACAGTTCGATATGGACAATCACCGATTTCTAAAGGCTTTTCCAAACGGCAAACTAATTATAGGTTTTCCACACCTTTTCGTATGTTTACCCTAGTGTGCATACATATATATATATATATATATTTTTTTTCACGTATTATAATATATATATACGTATATATGTGTGTGTGTGTAATCATTTACCCTAGTGTGTATCTACATTGTAGAAGCAATATCAAACCACCAAACCACGGGAACATACCTCCATGTCCTTCCAAGCGCAACGGCAACGGCCGGTTGCCATGGTCGCGCCAAGAGGCTCATGGGCCATGGCCGAGGTATCCCAAGTGGCAGTCTTACGATACAACTAATGCAACTATATAATATTATACTATACTATATAATATAATATTATATTATATTATAAAATATATACTCTCATACGCTCCTGGTACATCCTCTTTTTTTTTCATGCGCAGTTTGACTTGAAAAAGCGAGTTGTAGCGATTCTTGTTGCGATCCCTTGAGGCCAGTTGGCGGCATTCTTGCCATCCAATTGAGATCATTTTTTGAAGGGAATATCCCCACAAAATATGGCCTTATATGGTACAGTACCTCCATTTTAGGATCCTGAAATTCCCATGGATAATTGAAGGGAACATAGCATGGTTATTTTCGTATCGTTTACCATTGCATTCGTATCTCATTTATGACACCCAAAAAAAAATTGAGTCGGACTGGATCATCCATGGAATTTCCCAAACGTTTCTTACGCTCAAAAAACCAGCCATGTGGCTGATGATCTCTCCATAAACCATGTGCACCAAAAATAGGAAAATGCCATAGGAGCTGACTCCGGATTCACCCACCGCTGACTTACCCTCTGGTTATGACTAACAGTTCGCCATGGTTTGTTGATGGCCCATAGAATTAGATGGTATATAGATGGTTTACCATTCTTAAAAATGGGTGGATCTTTCCATGGCGAACTGTTAAATAACCAGAGGGTATATACTTATATATATATATATATTACCATAAATTATCATATGTTTTAACGAGTTCTGAATGCAATGTTCATATTAATCATCAATAATATCATTCATCCTCCAGAATTCACAATCCATAAACAATTAAATTATATATAACCACTACTACTATGGATGTGAAGCACTAATGGGCAAAATATAATAATTCAATAACCTGAAATAAGACCATATTGGGATGATTCCCCTTACTAACCATTATTCCAGTGAGGTCGCAGTAAGTCGTTATTATTTACACAGACTACGGTGGATGGTTGCGAAATCCTGCACCACCAAAAGGATGGTTGGAACCCCAACAAAATAATGGGATGTTTACCACCATGGCTATGTTAAATAACCAGAGGGTATCATATTTCACTAACCTGAATTGTTGGGCCATGAATGGGGATGATTTCCCACAATCTAACCATGATTCCAAGCTCCGATCCCCCGTCAATTGTCGAGCCAGGTGCACCACCATGGCACTCGTGCCCTGGCCAAGCCTCAGGAGTGTTGGTATTTATCCAATGTTTTAATGGTGTTTTACCCTCTGGTAAATTAACATAGACCCTGGCAGATAGGGGTTGGAAGACTAGCTTCCATTAAAACTAGGCTATTTTCAGGGTCTATGTTTATTTACCAGAGGGTATCCTATGTTTTTATCGGTTTCCGAAGTATTTTTCCCAGAACCAATCCGTAATGGTGATGGAATACGTGTCAGCCGCGCTGCGTGGTAAATTCAAGTGATATGATGATGTATGATACGTGGTATGATCAATGGCCATTTCAGGATCCTAGATTGGAGGTACCTACAGTACCATATACAGTATAATGCCTATGTAAGGGAATATCCCCAAAATATGGCCTTATATGGTACAGTACCTGCATTTTAGGATCCTGGAATTCCCATTGATATGAAGTAGTAAATATATGTAAATATCATATGATGATCTAGAAATACATACATCATAATACCATCACATATCATAGTAATGATGATGTATGATGATATATGATCTAGAAATGGTTCAGTGGTTCTACTTGTTCTATCTCTGCTTGGTGTAACTATAGACATTGCCGTTGTATACGAGTATGAATGTATGATCTATGTGGTTCACAATGGTGCGTCACCATTAACCCATGGATAAACTCAGTCACTGGGAAGTTCCTGGTTGACTGGGGCATCGAAATTGCAACTGGAGAAGCAGCCATGTCCATGTCCATGGAACTAGTGGCAACGAAATGCGAGCGCGTGAGCCGCACGAGTATTCAAAATCCTTGTTGCATAATCATTGCTACTTAGCATGGTTGGAGAATAACACACATTTGATACCTGGTTGGTGGTTTCAACCCCGAAAAATGTTAGTCAGTTGGGATGATTTTTCCCAATATGGAAAGTCATGAAATTCCATGGTTCCAAACCACCAACCAGAATACCTATTACTATGATAAAGCTGGAACTGCCCACCAAAAAGAGAACCACGGCCCAATCATCTGCAGAAAATATCTCCCAGCCTGGAATTTCTGGCGTTTGACCCCTGGAAAATTTCCACATGTTTCCACATTTTCCGTCCGTTGAGTCGTCTGGAGCCCCTGAGTCGTCGGCTTGCAAATCCTCTCCAAATCTTCTAACCCCAGCACCTATGGACAGATACCCAGGACCGGCCCAAGGTATGGAGCGAGGTTGCCGAAAAATGATGGTTTCATGTGTGATCCTAAATCCATCATGCGATCTTATCAGCTTGGTGGTGCAATAACCATCTTGAAAAATATGAAAGTCAATGGGAAGGATGACATCCCATATATTATGGAAAATAAAACATGGTCCAAACCACCGACCAGTTATCATAATCAAAAAGGCTGAGTCACATATTGTTAATAAACAAACCACAAGCATTGGACAAGCAATGTATGGCAATTGGCCTGCATCGGCAAACTAATATCATACATATTCTAATTCAAAACGATGGTGAAGAACAAAAACAGCACCCCTTAAATTCCGGCCATCAAAAGTTAACCACTTCCTCTCTCTCTCTCTCTCTCCCCACTGCCGTCCCTGTGGGGAGCGAATCCATCCATCTCTCAAATGTTGGGTATCCATTCAGCTCGATGATTTTCCATTGGAAACTGCGAAAAAAAGAACTCCATTTATAGATTATTTCCCCATTAAATCCCTCATTAAAATAGATGGATTCAAAAACATTAATAGAATTTAATATAGAGGGATTTGCCCATTAAATGGAGGGTTTAAACACTAATGACTAATACCCATTATAAACATTAACCTATTAAACATTAATAGATGATTTTCCCATTAAACCCTCCATTTATGATATTTATGACATCATTTCCCAATTGCCAAATAAATAGACCACAAAATCGGCTGCCTCCAAATCCGCACTTGAGGAGCCAGAGGTGAAAGCCTGAGATTCAGAGCCAGCGGGTCACTGGGAATTCACGTTATTAAGCGTGTAATTATGTATATTTTACTACAAACATATATTGGTATCATTTAGTGTATATATATATATTTATCTTCCTGCAAAATGTTCTCCTTCACCAAATATGCCGAGCCTGAAAATTGTTTGAGTCTCAGAGCTATTATCTTGGGAGAAAAATAGATGTATTGTCAAACCCTCAGTTTGCGCTGGGAGATTCATGGTCGCCGGCAGATTTTCCCTTGAAACCTTTCCATTGAAACTGGTGGTTCATCATCCTAAGAACCTGAGCTGAAAATCAGAAATAATGAAACAAACCATCACAAAACCATAAAACGATGGGAACAAGAAGGAAGAGAAGGACAAAAAAACCTGGCGCGAAAGTGCAAGCACAGCAAAGAGCCAAGGTAGGGGGGATTGCACCACGGCAACTGAACCACGCTCTTTTTCAGATACGTGATAGAGAAAGGTCCGCCGTCTTTAACATGACCTTTCATCCGTTGATGGCCGCTCCGTCGGAAGAAATCAAGGGGCAAGGGCACTACAACCATCGTGAATGGCAACATCATCTTCTGGCATGAAATTATTCATGTATGTCATGTGAAACCAACAAGTGGATACCCAAAAATGTCATGATTAAAATAATTTAAATTGATTTGGGCCACGGTCAATA